CCAATATCCGTATTATCTTTTATTCCTTTATTTGCTTATTTTCCATTTTCCACATTTTCTATTCTTTCCACTGGTAAACCTATTGACGACTGTAAAACGGCGAGTCTGTCGCTACTGTAATCGAACCTAGACGTCGTGTAACCTACGATCGGCTTAGTCGAGAGAGGCGTTTAGATTTGGTGAGTGGTGATTTTAAGGTCGTAGGTATATCTTCTAGCTTTTGTCCAAACCTTAACAAATGCACCAATGCTTTATTTTATTCCAAGCAGTTTCTACACAAAAACCACGGCTTGAGTTCCTCAACAATAACCCAGAACCGGAATTTGATAACCACAGAATCCACAGTCCGTCGGGAAACTGGAAAACAACAATAACTATCTTCGGTACGTCGAGACAGTTGGAAAACAACAACCACGGAGGCTCTCAGTACGTCGAGAAACAACCGGACAGAGTTTCAGTACACTAATCGAATTTCACGTGAGCAAGGAAACAACGAGCTAAGATGCCACTTAGTGATCGATCTGGGTAAAAAGTATTTAGTTGGAGCGTTATTTATTTTGGGTCTTAAAGGGTTTATGGGTCAAGAGTTAATATTTATTAGGGAGCGATAATTGTAAGCAGCACGAAACTTTTTTTTCTCTAGGGCCTTCGCGGCCTTTAATTATAATAAACGATTGAGTATTCCAGTGAATCCATAAAATGCAAAGAAACGAATTTATCAGCTAAATTGAATAAATGTGATAAATCGGATAAATCGGATAAATTCATTAATTTTATTAAATTCGTTAAATGGATAACTTGGACAATTGCGGATAAAGTGCACTTGACCCCGTGATAGTAGGCCGCAGTAAGTGGTCCGGGTTCGGGGCTCACACTATCTTTGGTAAATGATCTACATAACCGTTGTGCCGTTACTACGCCACACCGACCACAAATCCTCCACGTGCTTCTGGGGCTTCAGTTCTACTGGTCACACTAGGAAACTATAATTATAGAGCAATTTATACATACTTTATTTGTCAGCATCAACATGCGTAATTCATAATTTGTACTGTAGAAATTAGTAAAATCTGTTATGAATAACATGTTAAATTTTATCTAGGAGTTAGGTATAGTGATGTTTGAGCACATAAACGAACAGCAAATTATAAAATAAATGATAATATAACTTATTGTAATTTTATTTAATATATTCAATACAAATATTATTATCTGAAACAATTTCATTTATATCAACAGATTTATTCTGTTTCAGATCAATATAACTAATAAATTTGCTACTATGACATGTATTGCCATCAATATTATGATTAATGTTTTTTACTGTTGTTTCATCATCACATTTTAAAAATTCAGACAAAGATTCGGAATTATTTTTCCAGTTTTTAATAGTTTCATAAATTTCCAAAGCTGTTGGGCGTTTTTCAGGATCTTTATCCCAACATTTTTTTAAAAGATCTACATAAAACTGTGTTGTACCTTTAGGAATAGTTGGTCTTAATCCATTACAAATTTCCATTGCCAAACTTAAATTATTGTGCTGGTTATTTTCATGATCGGGAAATACAACACTTCCTGAAGATATTTCCCACATAATCATTCCAAAAGAATAAATATCTGATGCTTTACTGAATGATTTTCCTTGTAAAACTTCAGGAGCAACATAAGGTAAAGCTCCATAAATTCCTCCAGATTCTATATCTAATGATTTATTTACTGATCTTGCAAAGCCCAAATCTCCAATATAAGCATTATATAAATCATTTTGTAATATATTACCGCTATGTAGATCGCAATGAATAACATTATATGAATGGAATTAATTGAAGATCAAATGCGATATAAGATAATAATTCTAATTTTTTTTCCCATTTCATTTGTGCAATAGTATAAAGATTCTGACGTAAAGATCCCATTCGCGCATATTGAATAACTAAAATATAATCATCAGTAACTTCATCTTTTGACACTCCATGACATTGCAAAAATGTTGAATTTTTACTTCCAATATCAAAATATGTATTTACCTTTAAAATTATAGGTATTAATAAGATGAACAAATTCAATAAACATTATAATAATAATATTACCTCTTTCATAAACTCTTTACAGCTATTTTTTGATCCATGAAACAATTTAAGCGCAACAAAATCTTGGAAAACACCACCGCTTGTTGTTGAGTGTGTCCATCCAGCATAATACACAGTAGCAAATCCTCCTTTTCCTATTTTTTTTATAATTTTTAGTTCACTAAACGGAATCCATGATATTGATAAATTATCTTCTTTCAAAAATTTTTTTAGATCATCATCAATGTCGTCATGATCATAATTAATTCCTTTTTAATATTTGTTAATTTTTGCTTTTTTCAACCATTCATTAGCTTTTTCCTGATTAGATTATGTTCAAATACCATTTCGATAACATAATCCAACCAAATATTGTCCTCCGGGATTACCACTTTCAGCAGATTTTAAATACCACTCAAACGCTTTTTCTTCATCCTTAGATACACCTACACCATATTCATACAAGGCTCCAAGATTAAATTGCCCGCTTGAATAACCACCTTCAGCAGATTTTAAATACCACTCAAATGCTTTCTTTTCATCCTTAGTAGTGCCTATGCCATGTCGGTAACAGAATCCAAGATTATGTTGTCAACCTGAATCACCACCTTCAGCAGATTTTAAATACCACTCAAATGCCTTCTTTTCATCCTTAGTAGTGCCTATACCTTTTTCATAGAAGAATCCAAGATTACATTGTCCATCTGAATCACCACCTTCAGCAGATTTTAAATACCACTCAAATGCCTTCTTTTCATCCTTAGTAGTGCCTATACCTTCATCGTAGCAGAATCCAAGATTAAATTGTCCACCTGAATCACCACCTTCAGCAGATTTTAAATACCACTCAAATGCCTTCTTTTCATCCTTAGTAGGCCTATGCCATGTCGGTAACAAAATCCAAGATTACATTCCCATCTGTATTACCACCTTCAGCAGATTTTAAATACCACTCAAGTGCCTTTTTTTCGTCCTTAGTCGTGCCTCTTCCATATTGATAACATAATCCAAGATTACGTTGTCCATCTGAATTACCACCTTCAGCAGATTTTAAATACCACTCAAATGCCTTCTTTTCATCCTTAGTAGTGCCTATGCCATGTCGGTAACAGAATCCAAGATTACTTTGTCCACTTGAATTACCACCTTCAGCAGATTTTAAATACCACTCAAATGCTTTCTTTTCATCCTTAGTAGTGCCTATACCTTTTTTATAGCAGAATCCAAGATTACATTGTCCACCTGAATCACCACCTTCAGCAGATTTTAAATACCACCCAAATGCCTTCTTTTCATCCTTAGTAGTGCCTTTTCCATATTGATAACAGAACCCAAGTTCAAATTGTTTGCTATGATCACCACCTTCAGCAGACCTTAAAAGTATTCTGAATTCGTTCATTATTATCTTAATTTAGTAAATATTTTCTCGCTAAAAAAAAATTATCAGATTCTATTCAACAATGAATGAGTCAAAAGAGCTGATTGAACGTAAATAGTGATACAATTTTTAAAAGTGTAATGGCGTAAACTTCATACAGAAATTCTAGCATACATTTGCTAATCATTACTATATAGATAAAACGAAAGTCACAGCATTCTACATACGTACGTACGTACGTATTTCTAAAGTTTATATAGTAATATAAATTAAACCCACCATATCTGTTTCTAATATAGTAATTTTAACCTCTTGAACCTGTTAACCTTTTAAACCGGTTTTGACAGAGTGTATTGTAGCCAGTTTTATTTTAAAATAACATTAACATGCAATACATAATTTAAGACTGGTTTTTGATCGGTTTAATTAGTGTACGACGTAAATTCTTCGTCAAATAAACGAGTTGTTGTAAGTTCAGATTCAGATTTTAAATTTAATCAATGTTTATTCTTACTGTATTATCACATTTTAGCTAATATAGACATTGATCATATTTTATCAATGTTTAATTTCCATTAATATATGACAAGCTTTCTCAACAAATAACTTTGTTATATTCAAAAAGAAACATTGGAAAAAAGAGAAAAGTTTGACAAAGAACTCAGATGAATTTCCATAGTTAATTTTTGTAAATTTTTAAAAAAACAATTCATTATAAAATCAAAAATGAATAAGTAAGTTATGTGGTTGATGTAAAATTTTTTCTTTTCTTTTTTTGTTTTTTTTTTTCTCTTTAAAACTTGCGTAATCGAAGTATTGAATTCGTGCATAAAATATATACCCATTAGGGTTCGAGGCACAGGGGCATGGGCATGCCTTTTGGGCATGCCTTGGGGGCATGCCTATGGGCATGCCGTTCTGTAACAATAAGTCATGATAGAGTTCTATAACAGAATTTTTCAGTAATAACAATAGAAATCAATATGCAGTAGTTACCAGAATATGTAGCAAGAATTTTTTACAGTAACTCATGATAGAAAATCATGATATTTTTAATGCAGACTAACTAAACTTTATTAACTACATACTTTAATCAACTACATACTATGTATCACTAGAAAAATTTTTTACACTAATTTACAATAAATTACTATAATTTTAGCAACAGAATTTTTTTATATTAAGCATTTACAAGATACTAGTTTTTTATATAAAAAGGGCATGCCTATAGTCACAAGGGGCATACCGCAACTCAGAGCATGCTCTCAAAGGTATGCCTGATTTTTTACCTATACCTCAAACTCTATATATAGTATATTAGTTTTGAATAATATAGGGATTTCAATACTTAGTACTATATAATTTTTACTAGGCTACTATAGTCAAACTACACACTATACATTTCTTTTCTTTTCTTTTTTAATTGTTTTTTTTTTCTTTTTTCTTTATATATATTTTTTTTGTCTTCTACAAGTTCTTAAAGAGCTAATATATATTCTGATTCATCCAAAAATTAGTACAATAGTTGCATCTAGGTATCTAAAAGTAGCCAGATGAGGTTGAGCTTGTAGCTGCAGCTTTGTTGTTATTAACTAGAATTAGTTTTTGTGATTAATTTGTAAACTGTATATAAGTTCTGGCAAGATTGTCAAAGAATAAAATATATATATATATATATATATATATATATATATATATAGTATATATATTTCAATATTTTTTGACCAATTTAACCAATATTAAACTCTTTAACCAACTAGTTAAATTGGTCAAACTGGTCTGGTTAAGCTTAACTATTAATCAGTTTATGCCAACTCTAATTATAATATATACAGTATATAAATATAAAAAAATAAAAATATATATATATAATTAACTAAAATCTAAAAAAAACTCTTTTCTAATGGTGTGGCAGCTTAGTGAAGTGGTCTAGTCATTATCCCACCAAGCAGCAGGTCTAGAGTTTGAATCCTATAGACAACAATTTTCAAAAAAATAAATCTGCATTAGGTAACAATTATCCATCAATCGGTTGAATCTACAATCTGTAATCTTGGTTGTATCATCTTATTATGAAAGCTTTGGCACAGAAATGCCAAAAAACCGGGATGATCAAAACCTGTTTGGGAAGACCTGAGTAAGGAGGTAGCGATACTTTTGACAGTGCTACAGGAAGGCTAAATTTAGAAATAATAGCCGAGATTGAAGAACCAAACAACAACAAGATCCTTAAGTAGGAGGATTCACCAATCTGACCACCAATTGGAGAGAAGGGTAGCACACCAACCTAGTTAGCCAGCGTGGAAAACCGGGTGGCCATCTACCGTGACTAGGATTTGGGAGTTAGGTTCTACCTAATGACAAGGGCTAGGCGATCCCTGGAGACTAGCTGGACCCAATTGGAGAAAAAGGATATATGCTATAAAATCATATACCATGATGAGATAGGACATAAGGCATCTAGAGCCTAGCCAGGGTCAAATCTTCTGGGGTACAGGTTGGGAGTAAAGGAGGGACCAATAAGGTAATTACAGAAAAAGGAAGACCCGAATATGAGTACTAGAGTTGAAGTGAACCTTACAAGGGCATAGTAGTTCAATTGAGTTATACCAAACTACGAGTAGGAGCCTCAGCAACTGCGATGACTGGGTCAGCCAGATATAGAATACAGAAGGCTCTAGTAGGTTTACCTCAAGGATAGCCATGTGTTCGCTCAACAGAGAAATGCAAGCCGGTAATTAGTTAGTGCAAATCTAGAATAAGTCACAGAAGTTCTAAAGCAGGGTACGCAATCTAGTGAAACGGGCCAGATAGTAGTTTCTGGATTAGTATAATATACTAAAAATGGTTAGAATCAGAAGGTTAAATGGGTAATTCTCTAGTTGAGTTATAGATATGGCATTTAGTATAGAACCTGCGAGTGGACTACTTAAATAGCTACTCAAAAGGTGCATATGTGGCTAGTTGTATCTTCATTGTAACTGTAATAGCAAATGATTACTAATAAAGAGTCTCCATAGCCAAAAAGGTCACTTTAACACTGAAAAAAAAAAAAAAACTCTTTTCTGTAAATCTATAAATCAATAGAAAAATTAAAAAAGTAAACAAAACAAGGAAAAAGTTTAGTAAATCTAAGTGTTTAATACCAGAACCGCCAGTTAGTTTAAGCTATAAATATAAGAGAAACTTTACAAACAAAATAGAGAACCTAGAAGAAACCAACAAGGCCCCCAATACACTCATCCTACTCTTTATAGAGTTACCTACTACAATATTACAAAGGAAATCTATCCTCAAATCAGTTACAGACTTAATATTTGGCACTGCCCAAATAGATACAATCCATGATCCAGAAAACCTATCTACAAAAAACCCATCCACAATTAGAGTTCCAACCCGGTTTAAAAATCGCTACTCGTGACCCATCAGGTCAAACACCTTCTCTAACCAGGTATTCGAAACTAAACCGGGTCACCCAAATATAGTCAGGTGACCTGAATACCTAATTAAAAAACCTTTGCCTGTAACCTATTGGATTACTCTCATCAACCGGGTACCCAAAACTAAACCGAATATTTAATTAAAATTAGTTATCCATAAAAGAAATTAGTTCAATATGTGCTTTTAATAAGCTGTGAAATAAGTTATAATTTAATTTACTTTTTTTAAAAAATCAAGAGCTTCTCTAGAGCCAGACAGTTGTTAGTACAACCATGCAGAACCAATGACAATATTAGTATGAAGAATTCGAGTTTACAGCTATTTTCATAATTTCAGAATTTCTGAAACACTAAAAAAATTGCCGATAATCAAATTGATAAGTTTTGTATTCAGCCAAAGCTAGTAACCTATTGATTCCAACTTGGTAACTTATTAATTCAGTTATTGGCAATTTTTTCAATATTTCAAAAATTATTAAGCTTAAATTTATTTTACTAGGGTAGTTAATTGGTTGTTATATGCTGTGTAATGGTACAATTATTTCAGAACACCCAATTGGTAAAAGGTTTTAGGTTAACCGATTTGTCAAAAGTCTGACCCGGTTGATAAAAATTTTGGGTCAGGTGGTCGGGTGCACGGTTACCCAGATGACTATTTGGATCCCTATCCACAATAACACTACAACCAATACCTAATACAACAAAAAAAAAACAACCTCTCCAAAGCTCATCATACCAACCCTTGCCCAATTCCATATACTTGAAAAAGTGGGCAAAACAGCTTACCCCTATTTGCCAATCATCTACAACACAACAACAGTCACATAACACCCTCTAACCAAAACAACAACACAACAAACCAAAATTTGTCAAGTCTTATACCAACTGACCCTAACTTAATAGAAATATTCCCACCACCTAACCAAAACAAACCAAATCTAGAAGCAATGCTCCAAATACACCCAGCCTTCATACAAAATCAGGACCTTACACCAAACTAGGACCACCTCCAAGAACCTCCAGATACTAAACCAACTGCCTGACCACTACCAGACCCATCTTGTATCTATAGCCAAGCACTCTGATTACAATTATCTACCAAGAAAACCTCCACCCTGAACTATCAGCACTATAGAGCATTGGGGTGTGCTGTCAGAATATGTAGATCAAAAATATATGTAAACTATTAATAAAATTATTAGTAATAGATTTTTTTTGGATTTAATGATTAAGATAGTGATCAAAGCGGTTTATTACTTTTATATAAGTTTTAAATAATAAAAAATGATATGAATATTTTTAGATGCAAGGAGAGAATTATGCAACTTTTTTTAACAATTTTAACACAAACTCATACTTAAACATATATATAACAAAGTTACATTAAAAGTTTCTTATATTGATATTTAAATTTCAAACTAAACACTTTGTGAAAAATCAGGTTTATCTCACACACTATTAAAAAAAACTTTATTCTTTCTGGCTGATAAAGTTTTGACTTAAATATAAAATCTTTTAATATAACTTTGTTTTTCTAAGAAAGTTACTAATATTACTAGTTTTGGTTGCTTGAAACAGGATGAATTTGGGTCTTTACATCTAAATTTAGCAATCTATAGTAAATTTGCCAAAATTGAAATTTACAAATCATATAAGCGACGTTATCAAGCTCGACAAGCAGCTCAAAAAAGTTTAGAGAAGCATCAAATTGTCTCTCAGAATAAGATGATTGCAGAAATACAAGACTTATTATTTGATTTAAACCAAGAACAACTTGCGGATACTTATAAAATATTAATAGAACTTTCAAACAATAAAGTTGTTAATAACAAAGTTTCACGTGATCAAATCAAAGAACAAGAAACTTCACATAGTGATGAAATTTCAAAAGAGGAATATCAAAAAAACAAATTAATCTTTTTAATTCAACAACTACCTAATAATGAGATATGTGCTGCAAATCGCCTTATCACAAATATGCATTATTCGAAAGGGCCTGATAAAGGCAAACTTCTATCTCCATATCTTCAAAAAAAGGCACATAATTATATTTTTGATAGTCTTCATAAATCCTATTCATCAAATAAATCATTATGAAATGCAAATAATAGGCTAATATTGAAGAATAAAAAGCTTTTCTAGCAAACTAAAAAATTAATTAGAAAAACAAAATCACTTGGAGCACAAAAAAAAGTTTTACATAATCAAAAATTACACTATATTTTAGAGATCCGTTCTTTGGTTCAAAATTCACAATTAATGACAGATACTGTATTTAAAAACAGGATTAAATCTCTTTTCAAAATTAATAAGCATGAATATTTATCTAATACTATTTGGCTTGCCAGTAGTATTTCACAAGTAGAAAGTATGTCAATGAAATCTACAATTGAGTATACAAAAATTATTTATAAATTCTTGATTGGCAAACCTCCTCAAAATTGAATATCAACTTCAACTTTCCGTACATGGCATCACGATGTCTTAAATTTTTATCATACAACACAAATTTCTCAAATTAAACAAGCACTAGCTTTTGGAATTATGGTTGACAAATCTACTTGTAGTGAAATAAAGAATTTAGTTATCTGTTATCAAGCTTGGGATGAGCAAAAACAAAGTCCTATCATAATAATGACTCATCTTAAAAACATTCTTAGGTGTAATAGTGAAACTGTGTCTAATATTGTAATTGATGTTATGAAATGTATAGTGTAGACTACAGACAATACAGCATATATGTTATCTAATAAAAAGGGTGCTGTTTCTCTTTTTATTAAAAAAACTGGAGCACATACATTTCAAGTTGGCTGTGGACTTCATATTATGCAAATTGTGCTTGATTATTTTGAACAAGAAGTATTTGGAACTCTTTTAACTAGATTTTCTCAAAATCCACACTCTTATAATCTTCTATACTTGGTATGGAGTTTACATGATGGATATAACTCAAGTAGTAAAGACAAGCCTCTTAATATTAATGCTAAAATAATTAAAAATTTGTATAATAAATTGTTAGGATATCATTTTAATCAGTATCAAATGCCACTTCGATCTTGTTGAGGCTATGAATTGCAAATTGCAAAACAGTATCTTGAATATTATAAGGCTCACAAGCAATTTACTTAATGGTTTACTATACAATTAGAGAATTATTACAAAACTCCCAAATCATATCTTAGAGATTGGCAACTTTTTAAATCATGGATAACTAATTCAAGATTGAATATTCAAATAAAATATTTGATTAATTTTGCGGAACATTTTTATGAACCCTTAATCCAATTTATGATCAGTCAAGACTCCATTCCACATATTATTCAAAATGGTAAATTAGTTTAGTTACCTCCTAGTAGATGTGCTTACGAGATGACAGAAAAAGTTTATGATTCCACCTGAGAATAAAGTAGAACCTGTTCGTGCTAAATACCTTACACCTGCTGTATTTGAATGGAAAGAATATCTTAACAATATCAAAGATAACTTTGAGATGTTTTTCTCTGATGAGTTATTGGAAGCAATAAATTTATTATCAAGTAATAAATTTGAACAATTATTTGATAGTTTAGAATATGGGATTATTAAAACTTATAAATATTTTGAGAAATGGATGGATTCATGGTTGCATTTACCCTTGTTGGTCTGTCAACTTGGTGAAAATCATGTTCGATCATTTGCTAATAGTTATCGATTTACAATTCTTAAAAAACCTTGGATTCAACTACCTATAGAATTGGAGCTAGATTATGCAAATACTTTAGAAAGTGATATAAATAATGGAAATATGAGTGATTTTGGCTTGCACAAGTCATTATTACAAGATATTGAACTTTATCAAGAATTTGAAAATTTCTGTATAGCTAAAGATTTAAAATTACATAAATTTTCTAAACTTTATAATTTCGTCAAAACTCATATCTATTTTATTGTCATCCACCAGCAACAAGTTGAGGGACTTTTCAATAAGCTAGATATAAAAACCTATTCTAATATGTCCCAATCTTTAAAGAAATCTAAACTTTGTTTAGATTCGAATAAGATTGAACTTGAAAATTTGAATTTGGGTATTGAGAAAATATAATCACAAAGAAAACATCAAAAAACCATGATATTCAACCAATACAATTCAGAGAAGAAACTGCAACAAATTTTTTAAATAACTTGTTAAACTAGTTATTAAATTATATACATATATATATATAAATAAATTTATATTATTACTGTATATTGCATAAAAAAAATTCACATAAGTAGACATATCGATATTGTATATAAAAAAAAATCTCCAATAAGTAATTTTTATATAATACCACACATATATTTAATTTACATAGCTGATAGCACACCCCAATAGAGCATCCAAGTTGCCTAAATAATAACAAGTCAGAACAAACCCTTTGACTCAAATACTTGAACTAACAAAACTATACTCAATGTACTTGAGGATATAACCCAATTACATACTTTTCTCAGCCACAAAGCCATTAGACAACCTACCTGTTTAAACTTACCTACAGCAATACAAGTTAAATTCAACTACCTTGACACAGCCTTCTTTAAATCCTTTACTCGTGATAAACAGACCACCCTCCATCAAAAAGAATTTGAAACTCTATACAATATGGCTCTTGAAAAATATAAATGCCAACGCAATACCCAATTCATTAATAAAAATAACAGAAACCAAATCTTGCAAAAACTTAAGATCAAACTAGCAACCGATTATATTACCAACATTAACTTCATTAAAACCAACCTACATGATATTATATGAAAGATTTACTACTATGCCAATTTTGCCAAAATTAACATATCTACAAGCTTTGAAGATCTCTGAAAACTCATACTAACTATAAACACAGAATGCCTTGACCCTCTTCCAGACACACCTAAAAAAATCTCTGATGATATCTTATTTAACTTATCCTTTAAACTACTTATAAAAGAAACAAACCACACATGAGCAATCATAGTAGCACTACAAAAAATATACAAATTCAAAAAATTACTAGACAAATATTTTGCAGAAGTATGACTCAATCTCTCTAGCAACCTCACCAAACTTCATCCTACTGTCAAAGATCTATTCCCTATTACTAACTGCTCTGCATTCTCTTACTTGTCTGAATATCAGAGAAAGCTTGAAAAATTATACAACTTTGATAAAATTCCACCTAACTACTTTTAACCAGTGTTGTCATGGGACAGCTTTGGACAATACTTTGGACAATCTTGGACAATTAAATAAAGTAAAATTACTTGAAATTTTATTAAGATAATCTATTTTAATTTTAATTAAAATAAATTTAGCACCTAAAAAAATATATAGTTATATATTTTTTAAACAAATTTATTAATTATTAAAGCCTAAACAAGCTTTGGACAATCTTGGACACTTGGACAATTTTGGACATGGACAAGTCAAAAAAGGCTTTGGACAGCCAAAATGTACAACACTGCTTTCAACTACTAGATCCAAAACCACCACTTCTACTCTTATTCTAACAACTTTCTCACAATCTTTGCCATCTCTTTTCCTGTAGACCAAAAGATACAGAAGATATCAAAAAAATCATAGACCTATTTTGGCCTCACTATGGCTTTAGAAAACTCCCAAGCAATTATATTATCAAACTCCCTCACCTACCTTTTGATCCTAACACAATCAAAACTAAATATACTTACACTTACCTAATTATTGACAAACCTCTAGCAAAAAGATTTCTAGCCGAAAACTAAGAAAAATATAGCTTCAATCTCCCCCTACCAAAGGAATATATACTCATCAACTCTACCGACAAACCAGAACTACTCACAGATCCATGTTTAATTACCCAAATAAACCTTACAACCCCAATTACCTCACTCAAGCAACTAGTAGATATCACTAGAGAACTAAGAAACTACTACTATTTTACTGAAATTCACTCAAGCTAGATAAATATTTCATATAAAACAAGCCCAAGAGAACACAGAGACAAACCAATGCTGCTCCAAAACCTTGAAGAACTAAACCAACAACTTCAACAAATTAACTCAACTCTTGCTTTAGCTTTTCTCTATCAGAACCACCTTATCATAACTAATAATATAAATAAACTCAAAGAACACTTCAATTTCAATCTAGTACCAGACTACCTACTTAACCTACCAGACCTACCAGAACCTAAATAGCCTATCTTTGACAACTATACTCTTTACAACATCTCCACCAAGATTACTTCTCTATGCTACCCTATCTAGATCACAACCACAAAAAATAACCTCACACCAGATCAATCAATAGACTTAATATAAATATTATACTTCTAACTATTAATAACTCTCTGTCAACAGAATCACTAACAACTGACTTACCAAATCCTAGTATCACTCTACCCTATAAATCAAACACAAACCCCAATACTTCAATACCAATCTCCTTTCTCAATATCTTTAACCACAACATACAAGGTATTAACCAGAACCTCAAACTCTAGTTATGGCTTGAGGAATATCACCAACACAATATACATATTGTATTTATGATCGAAACCAAACTGCTAGCATCAACTATACATATCACACACTTAACCAACCCACTATACAAACTTTATACTTCTAACTATGACTTAATATATACAAATATTAAAAAATCATCAAAAGGTGTAGCGATAGTACTTAAACCTGAACCACAACCCTATATCCATAAAATAACTACCATATCTGGCTTTGCACTCCTAATTGATCTATTCCTACTCGGCAATAATAAAACTTAATTAATCACAATCTATCTACCATCGGCAATATCAACCCAATTTAGCATTACACAACAAACAATTATCTCTTGGATAAGTGATGGTTGCTCTTACAATATGAATATAATAATAGCTAGTGACTTTAACAACAACACCAACAGATCCAATCTTCTCATAATGTTTAAGCATAGTTGTAAATTTTTCAGTATTGTTTTTTGTGGCATGGGGTCTTGTGTATTGGGATTGTGTTCCAGGTTGTCTTAACAATTGATGGTCGCTATTTGTTGAGTTGAAGGGGTTAATTAAGTCAGAGGTAGAAAAAGTTAGTACAATCTCTGGTGTTGTCTAGATATCATCAATTTGGCTAGAAGATTTATTTTTTTTTCATGTGAGTTCAGTTATATTGTAAAGTTGAAGGAGGCTGATGAAGTCTATATCAGTAAGGTATTGAAGAAGAGGTGTTTGTTTATAGAAGTTGGATCTGTTGGTGTTGTTGTTAAAGTCACTAGCTATTATTATATTCATATTGTAAGAGCAACCATCACTTATCCAAGAGATAATTGTTTGTTGTGTAATGCTAAATTGGGTTGATATTGCCGATGGTAGATAGATTGTGATTAATTAAGTTTTATTATTGCCGAGTAGGAATAGATCAATTAGGAGTGCAAAGCCAGATATGGTAGTTATTTTATGGATATAGGGTTGTGGTTCAGGTTTAAGTACTATCGCTACACCTTTTGATGATTTTTTAATATTTGTATATATTAAGTCATAGTTAGAAGTATAAAGTTTGTATAGTGGGTTGGTTAAGTGTGTGATATGTATAGTTGATGCTAGCAGTTTGGTTTCGATCATAAATACAATATGTATATTGTGTTGGTGATATTCCTCAAGCCATAACTAGAGTTTGAGGTTCTGGTTAATACCTTGTATGTTGTGGTTAAAGATATTGAGAAAGGAGATTGGTATTGAAGTATTGGGGTTTGTGTTTGATTTATAGGGTAGAGTGATACTAGGATTTGGTAAGTCAGTTGTTAGTGATTCTGTTGACAGAGAGTTATTAATAGTTAGAAGTATAATATTTATATTAAGTCTATTGATTGATCTGGTGTGAGGTTATTTTTTGTGGTTGTGATCTAGATAGGGTAGCATAGAGAAGTAATCTTGGTGGAGATGTTGTAAAGAGTATAGTTGTCAAAGATAGGCTATTTAGGTTCTGGTAGGTCTGGTAGGTTAAGTAGGTAGTCTGGTACTAGATTGAAATTGAAGTGTTCTTTGAGTTTATTTATATTATTAGTTATGATAAGGTGGTTCTGATAGAGAAAAGCTAAAGCAAGAGTTGAGTTAATTTGTTGAAGTTGTTGGTTTAGTTCTTCAAGGTTTTGGAGCAGCATTGGTTTGTCTCTGTGTTCTCTTGGGCTTGTTTTATATGAAATATTTATCTAGCTTGAGTGAATTTCAGTAAAATAGTAGTAGTTTCTTAGTTCTCTAGTGATATCTACTAGTTGCTTGAGTGAGGTAATTGGGGTTGTAAGGTTTATTTGGGTAATTAAACATGGATCTGTGAGTAGTTCTGGTTTGTCGGTAGAGTTGATGAGTATATATTCCTTTGGTAGGGGGAGATTGAAGCTATATTTTTCTTAGTTTTCGGCTAGAAATCTTTTTGCTAGAGGTTTGTCAATAATTAGGTAAGTGTAAGTATATTTAGTTTTGATTGTGTTAGGATCAAAAGGTAGGTGAGGGAGTTTGATAATATAATTGCTTGGGAGTTTTCTAAAGCCATAGTGAGGCCAAAATAGGTCTATGATTTTTTTGATATCTTCTGTATCTTTTGGTCTACAGGAAAAGAGATGGCAAAGATTGTGAGAAAGTTGTTAGAATAAGAGTAGAAGTGGTGGTTTTGGATCTAGTAGTTGAAAGCAGTGTTGTACATTTTGGCTGTCCAAAGCCTTTTTTGACTTGTCCATGTCCAAAATTGTCCAAGTGTCCAAGATTGTCCAAAGCTTGTTTAGGCTTTAATAATTAATAAATTTGTTTAAAAAATATATAACTATATATTTTTTTAGGTGCTAAATTTATTTTAATTAAAATTAAAATAGATTATCTTAATAAAATTTCAAGTAATTTTACTTTATTTAATTGTCCAAGATTGTCCAAAGTATTGTCCAAAGCTGTCCCATGACAACACTGGTTAAAAGTAGTTAGGTGGAATTTTATCAAAGTTGTATAATTTTTCAAGCTTTCTCTGATATTCAGACAAGTAAGAGAATGCAGAGCAGTTAGTAATAGGGAATAGATCTTTGACAGTAGGATGAAGTTTGGTGAGGTTGCTAGAGAGATTGAGTCATACTTCTGCAAAATATTTGTCTAGTAATTTTTTGAATTTGTATATTTTTTGTAGTGCTACTATGATTGCTCATGTGTGGTTTGTTTCTTTTATAAGTAGTTTAAAGGATAAGTTAAATAAGATATCATCAGAGATTTTTTTAGGTGTGTCTGGAAGAGGGTCAAGGCATTCTGTGTTTATAGTTAGTATGAGTTTTCAGAGATCTTCAAAGCTTGTAGATATGTTAATTTTGGCAAAATTGGCATAGTAGTAAATCTTTCATATAATATCATGTAGGTTGGTTTTAATGAAGTTAATGTTGGTAATATAATCGGTTGCTAGTTTGATCTTAAGTTTTTGCAAGATTTGGTTTCTGTTATTTTTATTAATGAATTGGGTATTGCGTTGGCATTTATATTTTTCAAGAGCCATATTGTATAGAGTTTCAAATTCTTTTTGATGGAGGGTGGTCTGTTTATCACGAGTAAAGGATTTAAAGAAGGCTGTGTCAAGGTAGTTGAATTTAACTTGTATTGCTGTAGGTAAGTTTAAACAGGTAGGTTGTCTAATGGCTTTGTGGCTGAGAAAAGTATGTAATTGGGTTATATCCTCAAGTACATTGAGTATAGTTTTGTTAGTTCAAGTATTTGAGTCAAAGGGTTTGTTCTGACTTGTTATTATTTAGGCAACTTGGATGCTCTATTGGGGTGTGCTATCAGCTATGTAAATTAAATATATGTGTGGTATTATATAAAAATTACTTATTGGAGATTTTTTTTTATATACAATATCGATATGTCTACTTATGTGAATTTTTTTTATGCAATATACAGTAATAATATAAATTTATTTATATATATATATGTATATAATTTAATAACTAGTTTAACAAGTTATTTAAAAAATTTGTTGCAGTTTCTTCTCTGAATTGTATTGGTTGAATATCATGGTTTTTTGATGTTTTCTTTGTGATTATATTTTCTCAATACCCAAATTCAAATTTTCAAGTTCAATCTTATTCGAATCTAAACAAAGTTTAGATTTCTTTAAAGATTGGGACATATTAGAATAGGTTTTTATATCTAGCTTATTGAAAAGTCCCTCAACTTGTTGCTGGTGGATGACAATAAAATAGATATGAGTTTTGACGAAATTATAAAGTTTAGAAAATTTATGTAATTTTAAATCTTTAGCTATACAGAAATTTTCAAATTCTTGATAAAGTTCAATATCTTGTAATAATGACTTGTGCAAGCCAAAATCACTCATATTTCCATTATTTATATCACTTTCTAAAGTATTTGCATAATCTAGCTCCAATTCTATAGGTAGTTGAATCCAAGGTTTTTTAAGAATTGTAAATCGATAACTATTAGCAAATGATCGAACATGATTTTCACCAAGTTGACAGACCAACAAGGGTAAATGCAACCATGAATCCATCCATTTCTCAAAATATTTATAAGTTTTAATAATCCCATATTCTAAACTATCAAATAATTGTTCAAATTTATTACTTGATAATAAATTTATTGCTTCCAATAACTCATCAGAGAAAAACATCTCAAAGTTATCTTTGATATTGTTAAGATATTCTTTCCATTCAAATACAGCAGGTGTAAGGTATTTAGCACGAACAGGTTCTACTTTATTCTCAGGTGGAATCATAAACTTTTTCTGTCATCTCGTAAGCACATCTACTAGGAGGTAACTAAACTAATTTACCATTTTGAATAATATGTGGAATGGAGTCTTGACTGATCATAAATTGGATTAAGGGTTCATAAAAATGTTCCGCAAAATTAATCAAATATTTTATTTGAATATTCAATCTTGAATTAGTTATCCATGATTTAAAAAGTTGCCAATCTCTAAGATATGATTTGGGAGTTTTGTAATAATTCTCTAATTGTATAGTAAACCATTAAGTAAATTGCTTGTGAGCCTTATAATATTCAAGATACTGTTTTGCAATTTGCAATTCATAGCCTCAACAAGATCGAAGTGGCATTTGATACTGATTAAAATGATATCCTAACAATTTATTATACAAATTTTTAATTATTTTAGCATTAATATTAAGAGGCTTGTCTTTACTACTTGAGTTATATCCATCATGTAAACTCCATACCAAGTATAGAAGATTATAAGAGTGTGGATTTTGAGAAAATCTAGTTAAAAGAGTTCCAAATACTTCTTGTTCAAAATAATCAAGCACAATTTGCATAATATGAAGTCCACAGCCAACTTGAAATGTATGTGCTCCAGTTTTTTTAATAAAAAGAGAAACAGCACCCTTTTTATTAGATAACATATATGCTGTATTGTCTGTAGTCTACACTATACATTTCATAACATCAATTACAATATTAGACACAGTTTCACTATTACACCTAAGAATGTTTTTAAGATGAGTCATTATTATGATAGGACTTTGTTTTTGCTCATCCCAAGCTTGATAACAGATAACTAAATTCTTTATTTCACTACAAGTAGATTTGTCAACCATAATTCCAAAAGCTAGTGCTTGTTTAATTTGAGAAATTTGTGTTGTATGATAAAAATTTAAGACATCGTGATGCCATGTACGGAAAGTTGAAGTTGATATTCAATTTTGAGGAGGTTTGCCAATCAAGAATTTATAAATAATTTTTGTATACTCAATTGTAGATTTCATTGACATACTTTCTACTTGTGAAATACTACTGGCAAGCCAAATAGTATTAGATAAATATTCATGCTTATTAATTTTGAAAAGAGATTTAATCCTGTTTTTAAATACAGTATCTGTCATTAATTGTGAATTTTGAACCAAAGAACGGATCTCTAAAATATAGTGTAATTTTTGATTATGTAAAACTTTTTTTTGTGCTCCAAGTGATTTTGTTTTTCTAATTAATTTTTTAGTTTGCTAGAAAAGCTTTTTATTCTTCAATATTAGCCTATTATTTGCATTTCATAATGATTTATTTGATGAATAGGATTTATGAAGACTATCAAAAATATAATTATGTGCCTTTTTTTGAAGATATGGAGATAGAAGTTTGCCTTTATCAGGCCCTTTCGAATAATGCATATTTGTGATAAGGCGATTTGCAGCACATATCTCATTATTAGGTAGTTGTTGAATTAAAAAGATTAATTTGTTTTTTTGATATTCCTCTTTTGAAATTTCATCACTATGTGAAGTTTCTTGTTCTTTGATTTGATCACGTGAAACTTTGTTATTAACAACTTTATTGTTTGAAAGTTCTATTAATATTTTATAAGTATCCGCAAGTTGTTCTTGGTTTAAATCAAATAATAAGTCTTGTATTTCTGCAATCATCTTATTCTGAGAGACAATTTGATGCTTCTCTAAACTTTTTTGAGCTGCTTGTCGAGCTTGATAACGTCGCTTATATGATTTGTAAATTTCAATTTTGGCAAATTTACTATAGATTGCTAAATTTAGATGTAAAGACCCAAATTCATCCTGTTTCAAGCAACCAAAACTAGTAATATTAGTAACTTTCTTAGAAAAACAAAGTTATATTAAAAGATTTTATATTTAAGTCAAAACTTTATCAGCCAGAAAGAATAAAGTTTTTTTTAATAGTGTGTGAGATAAACCTGATTTTTCACAAAGTGTTTAGTTTGAAATTTAAATATCAATATAAGAAACTTTTAATGTAACTTTGTTATATATATGTTTAAGTATGAGTTTGTGTTAAAATTGTTAAAAAAAGTTGCATAATTCTCTCCTTGCATCTAAAAATATTCATATCATTTTTTATTATTTAAAACTTATATAAAAGTAATAAACCGCTTTGATCACTATCTTAATCATTAAATCCAAAAAAAATCTATTACTAATAATTTTATTAATAGTTTACATATATTTTTGATCTACATATTCTGACAGCACACCCCAATGCTCTATAGTGCTGATAGTTCAGGGTGGAGGTTTTCTTGGTAGATAATTGTAATCAGAGTGCTTGGCTATAGATACAAGATGGGTCTGGTAGTGGTCAGGCAGTTGGTTTAGTATCTGGAGGTTCTTGGAGGTGGTCCTAGTTTGGTGTAAGGTCCTGATTTTGTATGAAGGCTGGGTGTATTTGGAGCATTGCTTCTAGATTTGGTTTGTTTTGGTTAGGTGGTGGGAATATTTCTATTAAGTTAGGGTCAGTTGGTATAAGACTTGACAAATTTTGGTTTGTTGTGTTGTTGTTTTGGTTAGAGGGTGTTATGTGACTGTTGTTGTGTTGTAGATGATTGGCAAATAGGGGTAAGCTGTTTTGCCCACTTTTTCAAGTATATGGAATTGGGCAAGGGTTGGTATGATGAGCTTTGGAGAGGTTGTTTTTTTTTTGTTGTATTAGGTATTGGTTGTAGTGTTATTGTGGATAGGGATCCAAATAGTCATCTGGGTAACCGTGCACCCGACCACCTGACCCAAAATTTTTATCAACCGGGTCAGACTTTTGACAAATCGGTTAACCTAAAACCTTTTACCAATTGGGTGTTCTGAAATAATTGTACCATTACACAGCATATAACAACCAATTAACTACCCTAGTAAAATAAATTTAAGCTTAATAATTTTTGAAATATTGAAAAAATTGCCAATAACTGAATTAATAAGTTACCAAGTTGGAATCAATAGGTTACTAGCTTTGGCTGAATACAAAACTTATCAATTTGATTATCGGCAATTTTTTTAGTGTTTCAGAAATTCTGAAATTATGAAAATAGCTGTAAACTCGAATTCTTCATACTAATATTGTCATTGGTTCTGCATGGTTGTACTAACAACTGTCTGGCTCTAGAGAAGCTCTTGATTTTTTAAAAAAAGTAAATTAAATTATAACTTATTTCACAGCTTATTAAAAGCACATATTGAACTAATTTCTTTTATGGATAACTAATTTTAATTAAATATTCGGTTTAGTTTTGGGTACCCGGTTGATGAGAGTAATCCAATAGGTTACAGGCAAAGGTTTTTTAATTAGGTATTCAGGTCACCTGACTATATTTGGGTGACCCGGTTTAGTTTCGAATACCTGGTTAGAGAAGGTGTTTGACCTGATGGGTCACGAGTAGCGATTTTTAAACCGGGTTGGAACTCTAATTGTGGATGGGTTTTTTGTAGATAGGTTTTCTGGATCATGGATTGTATCTATTTGGGCAGTGCCAAATATTAAGTCTGTAACTGATTTGAGGATAGATTTCCTTTGTAATATTGTAGTAGGTAACTCTATAAAGAGTAGGATGAGTGTATTGGGGGCCTTGTTGGTTTCTTCTAGGTTCTCTATTTTGTTTGTAAAGTTTCTCTTATATTTATAGCTTAAACTAACTGGCGGTTCTGGTATTAAACACTTAGATTTACTAAACTTTTTCCTTGTTTTGTTTACTTTTTTAATTTTTCTATTGATTTATAGATTTACAGAAAAGAGTTTTTTTTTTTTTTTCAGTGTTAAAGTGACCTTTTTGGCTATGGAGACTCTTTATTAGTAATCATTTGCTATTACAGTTACAATGAAGATACAACTAGCCACATATGCACCTTTTGAGTAGCTATTTAAGTAGTCCACTCGCAGGTTCTATACTAAATGCCATATCTATAACTCAACTAGAGAATTACCCATTTAACCTTCTGATTCTAACCATTTTTAGTATATTATACTAATCCAGAAACTACTATCTGGCCCGTTTCACTAGATTGCGTACCCTGCTTTAGAACTTCTGTGACTTATTCTAGATTTGCACTAACTAATTACCGGCTTGCATTTCTCTGTTGAGCGAACACATGGCTATCCTTGAGGTAAACCTACTAGAGCCTTCTGTATTCTATATCTGGCTGACCCAGTCATCGCAGTTGCTGAGGCTCCTACTCGTAGTTTGGTATAACTCAATTGAACTACTATGCCCTTGTAAGGTTCACTTCAACTCTAGTACTCATATTCGGGTCTTCCTTTTTCTGTAATTACCTTATTGGTCCCTCCTTTACTCCCAACCTGTACCCCAGAAGATTTGACCCTGGCTAGGCTCTAGATGCCTTATGTCCTATCTCATCATGGTATATGATTTTATAGCATATATCCTTTTTCTCCAATTGGGTCCAGCTAGTCTCCAGGGATCGCCTAGCCCTTGTCATTAGGTAGAACCTAACTCCCAAATCCTAGTCACGGTAGATGGCCACCCGGTTTTCCACGCTGGCTAACTAGGTTGGTGTGCTACCCTTCTCTCCAATTGGTGGTCAGATTGGTGAATCCTCCTACTTAAGGATCTTGTTGTTGTTTGGTTCTTCAATCTCGGCTATTATTTCTAAATTTAGCCTTCCTGTAGCACTGTCAAAAGTATCGCTACCTCCTTACTCAGGTCTTCCCAAACAGGTTTTGATCATCCCGGTTTTTTGGCATTTCTGTGCCAAAGCTTTCATAATAAGATGATACAACCAAGATTACAGATTGTAGATTCAACCGATTGATGGATAATTGTTACCTAATGCAGATTTATTTTTTTGAAAATTGTTGTCTATAGGATTCAAACTCTAGACCTGCTGCTTGGTGGGATAATGACTAGACCACTTCACTAAGCTGCCACACCATTAGAAAAGAGTTTTTTTTAGATTTTAGTTAATTATATATATATATTTTTATTTTTTTATATTTATATACTGTATATATTATAATTAGAGTTGGCATAAACTGATTAATAGTTAAGCTTAACCAGACCAGTTTGACCAATTTAACTAGTTGGTTAAAGAGTTTAATATTGGTTAAATTGGTCAAAAAATATTGAAATATATATACTATATATATATATATATATATATATATATATATATATATTTTATTCTTTGACAATCTTGCCAGAACTTATATACAGTTTACAAATTAATCACAAAAACTAATTCTAGTTAATAACAACAAAGCTGCAGCTACAAGCTCAACCTCATCTGGCTACTTTTAGATACCTAGATGCAACTATTGTACTAATTTTTGGATGAATCAGAATATATATTAGCTCTTTAAGAACTTGTAGAAGACAAAAAAAATATATATAAAGAAAAAAGAAAAAAAAAACAATTAAAAAAGAAAAGAAAAGAAATGTATAGTGTGTAGTTTGACTATAGTAGCCTAGTAAAAATTATATAGTACTAAGTATTGAAATCCCTATATTATTCAAAACTAATATACTATATATAGAGTTTGAGGTATAGGTAAAAAATCAGGCATACCTTTGAGAGCATGCTCTGAGTTGCGGTATGCCCCTTGTGACTATAGGCATGCCCTTTTTATATAAAAAACTAGTATCTTGTAAATGCTTAATATAAAAAAATTCTGTTGCTAAAATTATAGTAATTTATTGTAAATTAGTGTAAAAAATTTTTCTAGTGATACATAGTATGTAGTTGATTAAAGTATGTAGTTAATAAAGTTTAGTTAGTCTGCATTAAAAATATCATGATTTTCTATCATGAGTTACTGTAAAAAATTCTTGCTACATATTCTGGTAACTACTGCATATTGATTTCTATTGTTATTACTGAAAAATTCTGTTATAGAACTCTATCATGACTTATTGTTACAGAACGGCATGCCCATAGGCATGCCCCCAAGGCATGCCCAAAAGGCATGCCCATGCCCCTGTGCCTCGAACCCTAATGGGTATATATTTTATGCACGAATTCAATACTTCGATTACGCAAGTTTTAAAGAGAAAAAAAAAAACAAAAAAAGAAAAGAAAAAATTTTACATCAACCACATAACTTACTTATTCATTTTTGATTTTATAATGAATTGTTTTTTTAAAAATTTACAAAAATTAACTATGGAAATTCATCTGAGTTCTTTGTCAAACTTTTCTCTTTTTTCCAATGTTTCTTTTTGAATATAACAAAGTTATTTGTTGAGAAAGCTTGTCATATATTAATGGAAATTAAACATTGATAAAATATGATCAATGTCTATATTAGCTAAAATGTGATAATACAGTAAGAATAAACATTGATTAAATTTAAAATCTGAATCTGAACTTACAACAACTCGTTTATTTGACGAAGAATTTACGTCGTACACTAATTAAACCGATCAAAAACCAGTCTTAAATTATGTATTGCATGTTAATGTTATTTTAAAATAAAACTGGCTACAATACACTCTGTCAAAACCGGTTTAAAAGGTTAACAGGTTCAAGAGGTTAAAATTACTATATTAGAAACAGATATGGTGGGTTTAATTTATATTACTATATAAACTTTAGAAATACGTACGTACGTACGTATGTAGAATGCTGTGACTTTCGTTTTATCTATATAGTAATGATTAGCAAATGTATGCTAGAATTTCTGTATGAAGTTTACGCCATTACACTTTTAAAAATTGTATCACTATTTACGTTCAATCAGCTCTTTTGACTCATTCATTGTTGAATAGAATCTGATAATTTTTTTTTAGCGAGAAAATATTTACTAAATTAAGATAATAAT